TGTTGTTGTGTACCATCGAGTTGGAACCGACCCATATTTGACTCTTTGGTTGGTTTTCAGAGGCATCTAGTCACACGGGAGGAGATTGCCCATCCTTCTCCCACGGAACAGCTGCTAGATCCTATGGTATAGCTAGTGGATTTGAACTACATGCCTTTGAGATTGCAGCGCAGCTTCTTGCCACCAGTGTTCTTTATTACCTTTTACCATTGATAATATTGAGAAATGATTCTATTTTTAAGACATGAGCTTCTACAGACACATCCATAATAACCAAAAAGTAAGAACAACCTAGGCATTCATTAAATGAATTGATAAAATGTGATTGTTATTTAAAGTTATGAATCTGTTGTGAAAGCTATATTATGGATTAACCTTGAAAGTATTATGGTAAGGAAATGAAGTTAATTACTGAATAACCCATTATATATGATTCTATTTATATAAAATGTCCAGAGATATTTGATATCACAAAATCCATAGAAATAAGAAGTAAATTATCGATTAATCAGAATCTAAGGAGCGGTGAGTTTGGAGAATGACTGTTATTAGGAATGTGGCTTTATTTAAGGTGATAAATGTATTGTAAATTAGAAATAATAATTACATAACTTTGAAATACACTTAAAACCACTGGGTCGTAAAGTCAAAAGGGTGAGTTTAAGGTACTTGAGTTATGTATCCATATTTAATTTACTTAGAATTCCCTGTTGTAAAATGCTTATTTTCAAAATTGAACCTGTCTGTATTGTTGATGTAAAATGCTACAGTGAAATATTTCCTTTTTATCAGGAATTCCTTCTCTCAAGAGTAGAGATACTTAGAGAATAATCATGTGTTTGATCCCTGACCAGAGGAACTTTGTTTTTACTACACATTTGCCTTGAGAATGATAATGATATAGATTGATATTCTCAAGTTGGTAGTACAGATTTATTAAAAGATAATGCTCTAATTACATAAGAGACATCTGCAGACTATCAATACAGTTGGCTGTATGGTGTGATGAAATGAGTACTGGACCAACCCTCAGAAAGCCTTTTCCCACCATTTCCTGTATGATCTTGGTTTTGTAAGCTCTCTCTCTGTATTCAGTTTCTTAAGCATGTAGTAAAATATCAATACCTACCCAACACATTTAGAAAATTTTCCAGAGAGCCAAATGGCTACTAGATGTGAAGGTATTTTGAAAATTACAGCACTGTGCAAATATAAGGCACTATTCTTTTAACATCCTACATTTTTCCTACTTCAGAGTTGACTTTCAAAGAAGTGGAAACATAAGATGCTAACGTAGATGGTTCCTTTCAGGTTTTGATTGAGAGAGACGGGCTTTGCTTCCTGAGGAGAAGTGTTGCACAGTCTCAGAAACCTGAACTTGTTTGACAATAGCAGATAGGATTTTATAGAAGACTGTTGTAATTTTCTAATGGATCATTCTGGCAGTATGAGAAGAATATGGCAACAGGCAGGTTTTGTCAATTAAATACGAGCTGTCAGAGAGTCAGAAATGTTGAAATATGGTGAGCATGAATCCTAAGTAGATCGTATGGCAGCTTCTCAGCTGTTATTTTAGCAGCGTGGCTGTATGTATGTGTCATTTTCTTGCAGAGTGTAATTTGAGTCCCTAACAACGGAGACATCTCTGCATTTGCGTGGTGCTGTCAAGCGAGACTTGGACTTTCTAAATGAGCCAGAGTGGCAGGTAGTATTGGGAGAGTGGCATGTGCCAGAGATGGTTCTCAATCTTCTTGTCCCCCATTCAGGTTATATTGAAGAGGCCTGCATCATCCCCTGCCCGTCAGACTGCAAACTCAGCGAGTGGTCCAACTGGTCACGATGCAGTAAGTCCTGTGGAAGTGGTGTGAAGGTTCGCTCTAAATGGCTACGTGAAAAACCCTATAATGGTGGAAGGCCGTGTCCCAAGCTGGACCATGTCAACCAGGTATTTCCTGTCATTTAAAATACTAAAATACAGCTTAGATTAACAGTGACCTATTTTTAATCCAAAAGTATGACATCTGCATAGCACATTTAGCTGCTTTATCTTTAAAATGTCTTCGTAAATTGTTACTATAATTAAATTATAAATCATTATTATTATTAAATTATAAATCAGATTCAATATTTAGATATTAATTATATATACACACACATATATAGTAACCTGTAGAAAAATAAATAGGTGGGTCATATAGGTCCTTATAGATAGATAGGTTCCTATAGAGATAGTCCTATAAAGATAGTCCAATAGATATACAGAGAT